TACAGTCGACCCCCCTATAAGATATAGATACGTTCCAATTTATTAGGAATCCGATTTCTTACAAGTCGTTCCAATCACAGCCCGACACGTGTCAAGTTTACGGACTACGGCTGATTGAAAGGTTTTCTTCCATAAAATTAATCGATTCTACACTAATCCGACTCAACATTTCCAAAATACGTATATTTTTTCGTAGTTTTATAGGAATCGTAATTATAGGGGGGTCGACTATATCTATGATCTTATAGGGGGGGTCGACTGTACTGGTTAAGAAAGGTTTTGTTTGTGATTGTTTATGAGTTTCCTTGTATAGTAAAGACCATACAAATATTACAAGAGAGCCAGGACTTGACAAGATTACTGGGTGAAAAAAATAATTAAAATATTTCAAAAGTTAAATTGTGGTAAAATTTTTCCAGCAAAAAAAATAATTTAATTGTCAGAGGATATGATTGTATCTTTCACTGGAGTCACTTCCTTTCCCAGGTGACACATTTGATGTGTCACTGGGAACCTAACAACAAAAAATCACTATTGGACAGAGAGAGAGATAAATCAACATTGCCAAAAATGGGCAGGAGAAGAAAGAGGGGAGGATCTCCAAATAAAAGGAAATGTCCGATGATGACATGAAGAGTTCAGCTGACACAGGAGTTTGCAGATCCCACCTCATTGAGAAAGGATATTTGAGGTGTGTTTTCCCATCGCCAATCACGTCCTCCACCACCATTTGCCAGATCATAACTGTTTTGTATCGGATGTTCAAACTATACCAGCTAGGAACCCTACTTGGCCTGATCCAACGAACTTGAATTTCTTCACCTGTTCATCAAGTGATCTACGGCATTGAGCGCACGTCTTTCAAATTCTCTGTTTTTGTTCTATTTTGATTTTATTCCAATGCTGGTTTGCCGTTGCTGCAATTTGAATTTGAAGGTTATTAACTGTTCTTTCAACCCGAAGAAGACGAAAATAGTTTCGTTGAAAGCGCTAGTTGTTTGTAGCAATAGCTGTAGGTTGTTAACGCCTAGATGATAATTTTCTAAACTTTACTTATCCAATATTTGGCATGAAGTCCAATATTATTTTTCACGTTATTATTTAATAAGATAATAACGTTATTCAACGTTATCATCTTATTAAATATTGCTGGATTAATAAGGTATTGTGTTTTTAGTTATATTATTTTTCACTTTTAAACATGGTTTTTTTGAACATTGTGCTATAACAGTAACAAATGCTAGAATCAAATTAAATAAAAACTAGAAAAAGTAAATATAAGTAAAAGCAGTATTATACTTACTCTTAATTAAAATTTCAAACTTCAGTGCAATTAAATTACAAATTAAAGTCTCATACTTATAATTTCTCACACTGCTGAACAGACTAAAATTTTTTATTACAATTTTTAAATGTTTTATCAACAGTTTGAAATTTCTCTCAAAATGTAGATTAAAATTGCATTATTTGATGTTTCTGAAAACTTTTCATTACATATTCCTTGGTATATAGTGATTTTGTATTAATAGTTATATTTAAATAAAAAATTTTCTGTACCTATACTCTCGACCTATTTCATCTCTTCTCATTTCCCATGGTCTTTCACCATTTTCTCCAGTTTCTAATTCATAGTATGCTCTATTACGTTCTCTAATTACTTCCTCAAGATTCTCCATACTTTCTTCTACCTAAAAGATAAATTGCTCTATATAAGCAAAATTAGTAAATAATTTTTAATAAGTAATTTTATGGTTTTAGTAAAATATTTTTATCATAATATTTAATTGAAATAAAATATATCTTAGAAAAATTTAAATATATAAATTTTAAAATGAGTTCTTGAACAAAGTCATAAACAAATAAATATTAACTAAATTAAAATTATATAATTTTTAAGAAGTTTGTGGCTGTATTAAATTACTATATTAATACATTATATATTTATAATTTTAAAAAGTATTTGATTATACATTTAAAAAGTTTATATTTTAATATTGAATCGCATGTTGCTTTAATATTAGAAATACAACAAATAAATATGATACAGCAATGCAAACAATACAAGTGCAAATCATAATTTTTTCAGCTTCCATAAGAAATTACTCTTATGATGTCATCTTCTCTTTGAAAGTCAATAAACATATCACCAAGAAATTAAAAATACTTTCTTCTTTGTTGTTTTGTTTCTTTAAATTACCAATATCTTTAGCTGACTGAGAACCAGAGTGTCTGGTTTGAACCATGTTGTCACACTTATTCATCTTCAACCAATTCAGAACTTTGCCATTTGCAAAATAATAACACAATCTAACTTTATTCTGATTGATTAATTTATTGATTTATTTTTAGGATTTCTTACTCAAAGCATTTATTACAGAAAATTATACTTTATGACAAAAACGTTAGTAAATATATTCAGAAAAACAATGGAACTGCTGACAAAATGAGGCTACCATTTATAAAATAATAATACTAATAATGCACTCACAACATTTATTTCCTTTGACTGGCTAATTTATTTTTAGTTTTACATCATTTAAATGCAGGAATTTTCCATTCCTACTACACTGGGAATTTGGCTGAAAGTCAAGTATAAAATTATTGAAAACTATGAATAAATTGAGCAGATTAAGATTCGTGTATCGTTGTATCCATCTGTTCCAATTTTTAAAGCAATTATTTTGGTCAATGTTTTAATGTTATATAACTGTATTAGCATTAAGCAAGAGCTCATAATAAGAGAGATCTTGGAATTAATCATCTATATATTTTTAATTTAATGCTCATATCTACTTCTGAAAACAAGGGGTGTCTATGAATGTTCTATCAGTAGTGTTAGCAGAAACAATTATGAAGCACTTGAAAAGAGTGCTTCATAATTGTACCCCAAGTTTGTGCTTTTATACCTACAATATATTGACGATATCCTGATAATATGGGTTGGATCATAGGATAAATTATTGTAATTTGTAGATATGTTACTCTATCTATCTATCCATAAAGTTTTCTCTAACAGAAACAGATAATGTTTCCTTCTCAGTTTTAAACCTTGTGATTAAAAGATCATCTGGTAATTTAGTAACAGAAATGTATCATAAATTTTACAGTGAACCTTTAAGCATTCCTTGAAGTTTGTAAAAACTTTAATCTTATATAAATTCAGCCATTTGGTGCTAATTTGTAGGATTTGTCTCTTCCTATTAATGGTAAAAGAGAGATAAAATTGAGTTGTATCTTGTCAACTGTCATAAATGCAGAACATATGATTAGCAAGTTTAATTTTCTATAGAAACATTCAAATTTCAGTCAATACTCTGGTAATGGATAATAATTTAAAAACATTTAAAATAAAATTTTTAATTCAGAAAAACATTTCAATATCAAGAACATTTTACAATTTAAATACATTGAAATAATAATTATTTTAATAAACAAATGCAGTAAAACCTCAATTTAATGGACTTTGGATTTACCAGACAAAATTTCCACTCTGTATATATGTGAAAATTAACATCCTATTAATTTTAGTATGCTTTTTATATGTAATTAAATCAACAAGTTATTTTTCTTTTCAAATCCAAGAGTCACCACTTTTAACTTCATGCAACAATAGAAGTGCTTGATATATCATCATCTAAAGATAAATAGGAAACGTTTTCTGTTTTTTGTCAAATTTAAATTTTGTTTTCTTTTTAAGATTATTATTTATTTTCTAGTTTTTCATTTATTTTTATTTATTAGTACAAGGTAAATACCTATCTGTATGGGCAAAACAACAATAATAAAAACAACATATTTGTTTAGTTAAATACAATTAAAATGTATTTTTCAAAAAATGTTTATATGTTTTGATTTAGATCACACATTTGTTTATTACAGTCTCAGAACTACAGTGAATACATAAGCAAGAATACACATAGAAAACTTTTCTGTGAAGTTAAACTACATAAGTGAAAACAGATAAACTAACTTGTTTGTCAATTTTTTAACATGTGCATTTGGAAAAAAATTTACTTTTTTAATAGAAAGGATTTTTTGGTTTTAATGAACACTCTGTCATGTAAATTACAGTAGACCCCCTATAACGCGGGTTCCTATAACGTAGATTCCTATAACGTTGTGAAAAATTGTGACAGTATTCGTATAAAGACGCTAAAAGGGACGCGCAAAACGCAGTAAAATGTCATCACCAACTCGTCATTGCGGACGAGCAGCCGAACTACTTTCCGCCGTCCAGCGCCACGCTACGGAGAGTTTAGGCGGGTAAGTTGAGTTTACTATCGTCTGTACAGTATTATATATAAATTAGGTACTGTACATATAATTATATATTAACTTAATTTATTTTAACTTTATTATAATTATATATATACTTTCCGCCATCCAGTGCCACGCTACGGAGAGTTTAGGCGAGTAAGTTGAGTTTACTATCATCTGTACAGTATGTAAATTAGGTACCGTAAGTCTAATACAGCACTGTAATTTTACACATTTCTTGTGAAAGAAACATTTCTTATTCAACGGCCATAAAAATTATTTCTATTAATGATGTCTCCAAAGTTCAACAAATTTTTCGCAGAAAAATAACATCAGAAATTGCGGCCGTCGTTTGGTGCGCTGCTCCGCGACGAAAACAAGCTTAAGCAATGGCGACGTCGAACGGTGCACACTCGGTAAGTAATCCTACAATTTTTTGTTTATAGCATAGTTTATACGGATTATTCCCAAAAAATTATACGTATTTTGGAAATGTTAAGTCGAATTAGTCTAGAATCGATTAATTTTATGGAAGAAAACCTTTCAAACAGCTGTAGTCTGTAAACTTCACACGTGTCAGGCTGCGATTGGCTCATGTATTTAATTAAGGATTCCTACAACGCGAAATTCGTATAACGAGGAATGTATCTACGCATTATAGGGGCGTCTACTGTATTCTGTTAAATTGATGTTTAACTGTAATACATCTTTAAGCACTTTTTTAGTATAGTTTTTTCTTTTTGACAAATGTCTACAGCTTTCTTAATAAATATTCTTCAGGTTGCATTCTGATTTGGAGAATCAAAGTTTTGCATTCTTGACAATTTGAAGGCTTAAAAATAAAGCCTAAAATGCTTGTAAAAAAAAAATCTGTGCTGAAAAAGCACTTAAAGGTGTGCTATTTGTTTATTGAACTTAGTTCTGGCTTAGTTACTTTTAAATTTATTGTTAATTAATTTTTAATATTTCAAATATTAAAAATCATTTATATTATTTGAAATGAAATAAAAAATACTAATATTACTTTATCTATTCTTTCTGGACTAGGAAATAATTCACATTCAGTCTTTGCAGCATGTTGCATTGTCAATAACATATTTCTTTCTTTTAAAAGAATATACCTAAGTAAAAATACAAATATTTTAGATTGCACATCTAATAATTCAATTTATCATCATAAATATCAAAATTATAATCTGTTTTTAATATTAATAAATAATCTCAGTGTTTCTTAAAATAATCAAATTTTAATTTCTTTTAAATGAGACGTAGAAGGATTAAGACTGACCAGAAACAATTAAGAATAATGATAGAGAGTAATGTTTTATACATTTCAAATTTTGTATATATAAACATCACTAAGCTCAATATAATAGTAATAATAATTTAGACAGAATTATATAACCTAATAAATAGGGTATAACAATTTGCAGGGCTTATCACACCAAGGCCAGAACTTTTATAAAAAAAGGGTCGGTCTTTAATAATCAAATTTCAAATTTAGGTAAGTATGCATTTTGGGTACAAGGACCCCTCATCAGCTTACAAACATATGGTAACAATGTAACAAATACAACACCAATAACCAGCCAATACAATGGGATAACCAACATATGCAGTGCACTGCATTTACAATTTCTCAATGTAACCCATACACCAGGTGTGGCCAAACTTTTATCCCTTAGGGGCTACTTTTTTGATAAAATATAGTCTGTGGGCAACTATGAATATGGGCAAACAATTTTAGGATTTTTATATGTGCATGCGTTAACATTCATTTGCATTGTCACCAGGATAAATACAAACAATATGGGTACGTTGCACAGACAGTCTATTATTGTAAGAATAAATTATTGAATTAAGATTTTTAAACATTAATTTAAGTGAAAGCAAATTGTTCAATTTTAACTTTGCGGGCTACTTTCAAAATCTTTGTGGTCGACTGGTCAACCGCGGTCTACGTGTTGGCCATCCCTGCCATACACTAAAAACCAAAATATCAAGTATAAATTAGAATACAATGACAATATGGTATAACATATTATCTGGGACCAGTAAATGTCTTAGTTTCACCTACATTTTCCAAATTCTGGTAGACGGTTACACCAGGGATGCACAACCTTTTCTGAAGAAGGGCGAAATTAGGATTAAGTTTACTGACTGGGGGCCGGACCTCCCTTTTAACTTCATGCAACAATAGAAGTGCTTGATATATCATCATCTAAAGATAAATAGGAAACGTTTTCTGTTTTTTGTCAAATTTAAATTTTGTTTTCTTTTTAAGATTATTATTTATTTTCTAGTTTTTCATTTATTTTTATTTATTAGTACAAGGTAAATACCTATCTGTATGGGCAAAACAACAATAATAAAAACAACATATTTGTTTAGTTAAATACAATTAAAATGTATTTTTCAAAAAATGTTTATATGTTTTGATTTAGATCACACATTTGTTTATTACAGTCTCAGAACTACAGTGAATACATAAGCAAGAATACACATAGAAAACTTTTCTGTGAAGTTAAACTACATAAGTGAAAACAGATAAACTAACTTGTTTGTCAATTTTTTAACATGTGCATTTGGAAAAAAATTTACTTTTTTAATAGAAAGGATTTTTTGGTTTTAATGAACACTCTGTCATGTAAATTACAGTAGACCCCCTATAACGCGGGTTCCTATAACGTAGATTCCTATAACGTTGTGAAAAATTGTGACAGTATTCGTATAAAGACGCTAAAAGGGACGCGCAAAACGCAGTAAAATGTCATCACCAACTCGTCATTGCGGACGAGCAGCCGAACTACTTTCCGCCATCCAGCGCCACGCTACGGAGAGTTTAGGCAGGTAAGTTGAGTTTACTATCGTCTGTACAGTATTATATATAAATTAGGTACTGTACATATAATTATATATTAATTATATATAAAGACTTACTTCTATTATAAACCAAAACGGTGCTTAATTCACTATAATTTCTTTCGCTAACTATCGAAAGATTTGAAAACGTTAGTGAAAGAAATTATAGTCAATTAAGCACCATTTTGGTTTATAATAGAAGTAAGTCTTTTGATGTTACGGTGTGTGTTGGATGTAGTATTGTTTAATTATATATAAATTAGATACTGTATATATAATTATATATTAACTTAATTTATAGAAACTTTATTATAATTATATATATACTTTCTGCCGTCCAGTGCCACGCTATGGAGAGTTTAGGCAAGTAAGTTGAGTTTACTATCATCTGTACAGTATGTAAATTAGGTACCGTAAGTCTAATACAGCACTGTAATTTTACACATTTCTTGTGAAAGAAACATTTCTTATTCAACGGCCATAAAAATTATTTCTATTAATGATGTCTCCAAAGTTCAACAAATTTTTCGCAGAAAAATAACATCAGAAATTGCAGCCGTCGTTTGGTGCGCTGCTCTGCGACGAACACAAGCTTAAGCAATGGCGACGTCGAACGGTGCACACTCGGTAAGTAATCCTACAATTTTTTGTTTATAGCATAGTTTATACGGATTATTCCCAAAAAAT